TAATTAATTTATTTTTTTTAATTTTTTTATCTTTTTTATTTTTATTTTTATTTTTATTTTTATTTTTGTTTTTATTTTTATTTTTATTTTTATTTTTTTATTTTATTTATTTTTTTTATTTTTTTTTTTTTAAATATTATTTAAAAAAATATTTGAATTATTTTTTGGTTTTTTAAATCAAAGGAAATATAATGATTATTATAAAAAAATGAGTTTCATCCTTATGTTTAAAAGTTTTTTTTTAAATATTTTTTTTTTTTTTTTTTTGGGTAAAATTTTCCCGATTATAATTATTTAAAATAACCAAATACAATTGAAAAATGATAATTGAATTAAAAATATATGATAAATTAAATGAATTTTAAATTGTTTTGTTTTTTTATAAAAATTTTACCTTTTTATTTATTTTTTAAAAAAAAAAAAAAAAATTTATTTTTAAAAATTTCAAATTTTTTTTAAATTTTTCTTTTAATTTTAAAAAATTTTATTTTTCGCTGTTCCACATTTCATATATTTATTGCTTATAACAATATTAATGTAAATACAAATAAATAGAAAGGGAAGCAGAAATAGAAATAAGTTGTTTATATAAACATATAATTATATAGATCTCAATAATATATATCAAAAATAAATATTATAAATGATGGCATCAAAACATGCTATTGATTGGTCAAATGATGATGTATCAAATTGGCTATCTTCAATTGGTTTTCAAGATTTGGTTCAAGAGTTTTTAGAGACTAATATTAATGGTCCAAAACTACTTACTCTAACCGAAAAGGATCTATCAAAATATAATTTTAAAGGTCTTAAAAGAACTTTTAATGGATTTTTAAATGACTTAAAGAACGAATCAAGTCAATCTTTATTAAAAAATAATCGAAAACCCAACAATACTAATAATAACAATAACAATAATAATAACAATAATAATAATAATAATAATAATAATAATAATAATAATAATAATAATAATAATAATAATAATAATAATAATAATAATAATAATAATAATAATAATAATAATAATAAAAATAATAATAATAATAATAAAAATAAAAATAATAATAAAAATAATAACAAAGGGAATAAACAAAAGAATTTAATACCAAGTAATGATTTTTATAATGATGATTTCTATAGTTTTGGTAGTTCAGCAACAGCAAGTTTAAAAAATAAAAAAAATGATTTTATCTTTGGGTCAGTTAGTCCACAAAATACAGAATCCGAAAATAAAGTAAATGAAAAATTTGGTGCATTTGTATTTGACTCAAGTAAATACCAAAATAAAAATAATAATTATAATAATAATAATAATAATAATAATAATAATAATAATAATAATTATAATTATAATAATAATAATAATAATAATAATAATAGTAATAATAATAATAATGGTCCAAGAAAAGGTAGAAGAGGAAGTGAATTTTCATTTGACGAAGTATTACACAATTATTCAAATGATATTAAAGAAACTAATAAAGAATTTATTGAACAGATAAAATATTTAAGAGACATCAAAGAATCATTAACAAAGAAAACAATTTTAGAAAAGGTTCAACAAATTCAGTACAGTTTACCAAATATATTATCAAAAACAAACATCCCCGATGAAATTATTCAAATAATATTAGAAGTATTCTCAAACAAATACCTTTTACAAAATCTACAATTTTCAATTCTATGTAGTTTCTTTGATGAAATGATGAAGTCTGCATTCTTTCAACATCCATCCAATTTACTCAAATATTTAGAAATTAACCAAGCCGACGAAGAATTATTCATCTCATTAAGAAGAATTTTTAATAAGACCATCGAGCTATTTGATATTGACTGTGTTACATTTATCAAAGATTTAATGGAGAAATTAAAACAATATTACAACAGTAATTTTAGTTTGGTCCCAGAAGAGTATCAAAGAGATAAAAAAAATTCAAAACAAATCAAAGACAATTTCGAAAAAGACAAAGAAAAGAACAACGCTAAAAGAGATGAAAACTTTAATAAGTTATTTGAATTTTTCAAGCAAAAAGAAGAAGAATATGAAAAGCCAAAAGACTTTAGAAAGCTCCCCATCTTGCCAGAACCAGGCGAATTAAAGAGAAAAGAAAATAAGAATTTAAAGAAAACTAAAGTTGGTGCATATGAAAGTGAATATGACTACTTAGAAACTCATTTCCGTTTAATTAGAGAAGATCTTATTAACCCATTGCGTACATCTGTTGATTCTTTCCGTAGAGGCGAAACTAATTCAAATCTTTATACAAATGTTAGATTTAAAAGTAAGTTATAATATATCACTATCAAATAAAATTTTAAATATTAATTTGTTTGTTTATTTTTTTTTTTAAAAAAAGGTATTTCAACTTCAACAGTTTCATTAGGGTATGAGGTAACATTTGACTATCATCATTTTATTGATTGGGAAACTTATCCAAAATTAATTATGGGTTCATTGGTAGCATTAAGTTGTGATAATTTCCTTAATATCCATTATATGATTGTATCAAATAGAGAAGAAGTAGGAAATTTAAAGAGAATATCATTAATGCCATATGTAGACACAAATCAAATTTCAAAAGCAGCCAATACCAAACAAAAAGGAACATTTCAATATTTTAAACCAGAATTTTTTGAAAATATTTATGTTATGATAGAATCACCATCATTCTTTATTGCATATCAACATATTTTATTATCTCTTCAACAAATTGAAGACGATTTATTGCCATTTAAAGATACTTTAGTTAAATGCACCAACCGTGATACGAGAGAGCCACCCAGATATATCAAAGAGAACCCAAATTTCGATTTTTCTAAAGTTTTTAGAGATAAAGTTGTTATTGACGGTAAATCCGATGGTTCAGTGTGTAACGTCTTAAAAGGCTTCCCAGATGAATTGGATGAATTGGATGAATCTCAAATGATTGCTATTAAACAAACTCTTACATCATCACTATCGTTAATTTTAGGTCCACCAGGTACTGGTAAATCATTTGTTTCTAGAAATCTTTTCCATTTAATTTATAACAATTTAAAAGAACAGTTAGGAGGGTTGGATATGCCACCAATTTTAGTACTCAGTCACACAAATCATGCTTTAGATCAATTTACCAATCATCTTCTTCAAATCACCGATAAAGCTGTTAGAATTGGTACCCGTTCAAAAGATGAAACCATTAAAAAAATTCAAATGAACCAAAAATTAAAAGGAACTTCTAATCTATCATCTGGTTTCAGAAAGCGTTTAGAGATAATAGCACGAATCAAACAATCATTCCAAAAGCTAGACCAGCCATTCGAATATTCAGATTTTCAATATATCGATTTTGAGGTAGATTTCCAAAAGATATTCCCAAATGAACAAGAGTTTATCAAATATTTAGCACCTATTAGAAGAGAAATTGATACAAAGATTTTAATGGAATTTAAACAAGAGAATGATTTCTTAAATGTTCCAGAGTACCAAAAGAATATTCAATTAAAAAAGGTCAGCAGCGAACCAGATGAATTAAGAGTCGATAAATCAATCGTTAAACAAAAGATAAAAGAAAGAAGAATTGATGGTTTCTATAGTCTTATTGATACAGATGTCGATGGTGACGGTGAGGAAAATAATGCAAACGATAGAGATGCTCATAGTCGAGGAAAAAGAACACTCGGCAAAGTTGGCAACTACATCAAACTTTTACAATTTAATTTTGGTGGCAAAATTACAAAAAACAAAGACCAAATACTCTCTTATAATTCAGAGAAGCGTATTCAGCTCTATAGATATTGGGTAAAATTAAAAGTAGAAAAGATTTTCAATGACCTTGAAGAGTGCTTCAAACACTTCCAAATCCAAACCAACGTTATCGAGGAGGACCAATTTAAAGCTCGTAAAAACCTTTTGGAAAAAGATACGGAGCTTATCGCTGCTACCATTACTGGTGCATCAAGATTCAAAAAGCTCTTTGAAACTCTTAATATTAAAGTAGTAATAATTGAAGAATGTGCTTTGTCAATGGAAGGTTTCATCACTGCTGTCATTCCAAACTCAGTCGAACATTTAATCCTTGTTGGTGATCATAATCAATTAAAACCATCATGCACCGATCATTCACTTTTAACAAAGTTTGAATTGGATCGTTCAATTTTCGAACGTATTTACGCTAATGGTGGTAGATGCTCAGCACTTCGTACCCAAAGAAGAATGTCACCCTCCATTTCTCGTTTCATTTTACCAGTCTATCCAAATTTACAGAACCATCATTCGGTTATCGAAAGAGACAATGCCCTTGAAGAAGAACAACTAAATTTAGTTAAAGGTTGTCTCTACAATGTTTATTTCTTTGATCATATTCAAAATGAAACTAAAGCAGCCGAACCAAATTTAAACAGTAAGTCAAATTACCACGAAGCAGACTTGATTGTTCATTTTGCATTTTATCTTTTAAATCAAAACTATAGACCGGAACAAATTACAATTCTCACACCATATGCAGGTCAACTTTTACTCATAAATGAAATCATTCAAAAATTCAAGTATAAAAATATAGACAAAGAACTTTGGAACTCTTTATCAATCATTGAAGTTTGCACAGTAGATCAATATCAAGGTGAAGAGAATGATATAATTATTGTATCATTGGTAAGAAATAATAAAGAAAACATTGGTGGTTTCCTTGGTATTACAAATAGAATTAATGTCATGATTTCTAGAGCCCGTTTGGGTTTATATTTATTTGGTAATCAATATCTCTTACAACATATGAGAGCTCATGAACCAATTTGGAAGAACATGTTCCCAATTTTAGAAGAAGAAAATGAAATTGGTGTTTCATTACCATTGGTTTGTCCAAATCACCCAAAAACCATTACCTTTATAAAAAATCCAAAAGATTTTTTACTTTTCTCTCCTGATGGTGGGTGTGTAAGACCATGCAATGTCAAGCTAAAGTGTAAACATTTATGTAGAAGAAAATGCCACTCTTCTGCAACACCCCATATTTGTATGGAACCATGTGCCAATTTATTAAAATGTGGACATATGTAATTATATTTAATTTTAAAATCTATAATTATTATTTTTGAAATATTAATTTTTTTTATTCAATTTATTTAGGTGTCAAATGTTTTGTTCACAGCGTTGTGGAGAATGTAAAGTAAAAACCTTAAAGACACTCCCTAAATGTCGTCACAAGATTCAAGTAAAATGCTCTGAATTTGTAAATGAAAAGACCAAATGTTCCCAAAAGTGCCAGAATTATTCAAATTCTAAAAGACCTTGTAAGAATTTGTGCGGTGAACCATGTAGTTTTAAATAACAATAAAGATCCAAAACTTTTATAATTATTATTTTTAGTTTTCAATAACTTTTATTTTCTTTTAAATGTTTTTTTTATTCTTTTAATATTTTTGTTTTTTTAAAAATTGACTTGCATGAGTTTTACCACACAGATTGGTTTCATACAAGTAAAGCTCCGAACCAAACTAGAGGATTACAGTTTATTGGAGAATAAAATCGAATAAAGGTAAAAATAAATAAAAAAAATTCGATTGGAAAAAATTATTTTTTTAAAAAAAATTTAATTGTTTATTATTTATTTATGCACATTATTTTTTTTTTTTTTTATACTATTAGCCACTCTTTGTAAAGAGTGTTTCCAGCTCAACCACGGGGAGGTTAGTATATTTGAGCCGACAGCTAACTATTATACCGCCACGCACAGTATAATAATTAGCCCTTGGTTTGGTAATCTCAGAATACAGATCAATATACCAAACCAGCCTTGATACTTCACACTTGAATCTTCATACTTGATAGCCTTGAATTTTCTTGAAAGATTTGTAAATCTCAGAAGACAGATACCAAACTAGCCTTGATACTTCATTTTCTTGAATCTTCATACTTGCTACCTTGAATCTTCATACTTGATACCTTGAATCTTCATACTTGCTACCTTGAATCTTCATACTTGTTACCTTGAATCTTCATACTTGCTGCCTTGAATCTTCTTTATTAAGAACACATAATTGAGTAGTTTTGATAAGGAGATTTTTAATTAAAAAAAAAGATTAATATTTATAAAATTACAGTATTTGATAATAAATTTTAAAGCTCGCTTACTGTTATTTTGTTTTATTATTATATGAATAAATAAATAAATAGTTCCAAATAATAATTATAATTAATATCTATACCATTCACCTGTCAGTTTTTTAAAGAGGTCCACATTCAATAATATATGATTTGATATATGCCCTGGCATATATCAATTATATTAAGGAAATATGGTTTAAAAAACGGAGGATTACCACGATGCCAAACACAATGTGAATGTCACACCCCTGCTCCCTTACGGGCCATTGATTAGGTATACTTGGACATAAATAAATAATTAATTTATTATTTTGTTTACTATTTATTTACTATTTCATTTATTTATTATTATATTTATTATTATGTTTATTATGATTAATTTTTTTTTATTTTATACAAAAAATTTATTATTATATTTATTATTTTATGATTAATTTTATTAAAAATATTTCTTGAGTAAAAATAAAAATATGTAAATTTAAAAATGTGTTGTAAAATTATGGGGCATCTTTTTATAAGATTTTTTATAACGCACACATTACTGCCATATTTATTTTTAAAAATCAAATAATTTTATAAAATTTTTTTTAAATTTTCCCAATTTTTTTATTTATTTTTATTTTTATTTTTTTCAACACACAACAAACACACACAAATAATTTTAATAATGTAAAATATATTACATCAAACCAAAAATAATAATTTTAACATTAGCGAAATATATTTAAAACCTTTATAGAACAAGTTAGAAAATCAATACATTATTTTAAAACAATAACAACAATAACAACTAACCCACACACATAGAAATTAGCATCGTTGAAGAAATATAAAAAATAGACGCAGATCCACAAACATAAATTAAAACCATTCAATACCCCCAACAGGATCTGCTGTCGTAGATATTATGAATGAAAGGTTTTTAATCAATAATATAAATATTTAGCATATGTTTATCAAATGCACAGCGAACCTATTAAAAGAGATTTTATACTATTTACAAGTAATAATAATAAATACCAATCCAATCATGAACTATTGCTCAATAATAATAATAATAATCTCAAATTAATATCAATAACTATCATAAAAAGTCACAAAGTCGCAGAAACTCAAATTCTCATATAGTATGCTTCATCCTTCTACTGGCATCTCCCACCATTTTTTCAACTTTATAAATGCAAACTTATAATCAGAATTGCCAAGTATTAGAACTGTTCAAGTGTATAGAGGTTATTTATTGATTGTAGAAATGTAAATTAAAACCTATGCAGATTGCAAATTATTCTCATATCTTTAATTAAATCAAAATATGCAAGATAAAAAATAAATCAAGCTAACAACCACAATTTAATAATGTAGATGGTGTCTAAATGTCTAAAAGTGAATATTAGAATATGACCTACCCGAAATCTTTTCAGTATTAGGTTCTGAAGCATCATCAAAACAGGATTTTAGCAATCAATCAAATAATTCAAAAAAACAATCAAGTTAAAAATCAATATAGTGCCAAACCAAAGGTAGTCCTCAATAAGAAATAATAGTCACACCCAAGCATCACCAAATTGGACTTATTATCATATAATTAATAAAACGCCTCCCATTTTTCAGGACCATCGATGCAGGTGCTGCTGCAGGTTGTGCTGCTACAGGTGGTTCTACTGCGGGTGGTGAAAGTGGCACAAGTGGTACAGGTGGCACATCAACAAGTGGATCAACTAGCATATCAACAGGTATAATAGCAGATAACTCTTCAGACTGGAAAGACTCTTCAGACGCATCAGAGGACTCTTCAAAAGGTTCATCAGATAGCAGATCATCATCAGCCAGTACATCATCAGCTATCGGTTCATCAAATAGCATTTCATCAGATAGTAGTTCATCATCAGCTAACAGTTCATAACTATTAAAAAAAGAAGAGAGAACTTTTAGAACAATTAGAATTAGCCCAAGAAGATCTTCAATCTGAAAATCACAATACTAAATCAGAGATTACAATTCTTCAAGATAAATTCAGTAAAGAGGGGATAGATCCATCAGCATTGGTTTCTAAGCAAACTAATGAATTTAGCAATGGAAAAAGATTTAGAAACCAAACAGTTAATAGAAAGTCAAAGAAATAGCAGTATTTTTGTTGTAGATCCAAGAAATCTCGATGACGAGCTTCTAACTAGAAATGATGATGTTACAAGCTGGGCAACTTAGAAAGTTAGAGTCAGAAATCTCTCAACACAAAAGGTTCATTTTGAAACAGTTAGAAATGAAAATACTCAATTAAAACTGAAAATTGAAATATTGAAGAGGAGATAGACAAAGAATGGAAGAGTTAAATCTTTAAAGAGAAAAAACAAATCTTCTACCTTTAAAATTTTGTACCCTCAAAGAATCACTCTTAAGTAATCTCAAAAATAGATGTAAAAAGGTTATTGATTTAGAATTTGTTTAAGACCAATATCAATATCGTAATGACTGTTTGAAGCGTGCCAATAAACCAGGGTGGAATGATCAAGAGACAATTTATTTCAAACAAAATTTGACGAAATGACAACAATATATATCAATTTAAGTTCAATTCAAGTATTATCAACTCAGATTTCATTTTTAAGTTAGTAATTTTAGATTAAACATTTATAAAAAATAAAGAGAAAACATTTATTAAATATTTTATTTTGTGATTGGTTTTTTGTTGGTGGTATCTCTTTCATTTTGGAGATTATGTAGGTTTTCTTTTAAGAGAGAGATAAAGATAGTTTTCTTTTTCTTATGACAAAACAATCACCTGGAAGATTTTATAATAAAAATTTTTTAGCATCTGTAGGTTTCGATCCTACGACCTCAAGGTTATGGGCCTTGCATTCTACCCCTGAATTAAGATGCTTTTATAATTTTATTGTGTAATGCATCAGTAGTCTTTATCTTTAAGGTTATTATATTTAGCTAAGTAATTATTATGTCATCATTAGCCACGTCAATATTATGTCATACTAGCCACGTCAGCATTAACCACCTCATTATTTAAGCAAAAAGTATTTAAACTCAAAAGAATATAATTTTATAGTCAGTTGTTTTACAGTTATTTTTAGAGTTGTTTTTAGAGTTAAGTTTAGAGATGTTATAGAGATAATTTTATAGATAGTTTTATAGATATATATAAGTAATAAAGATAAATAATAAATAAAGTATATTTTAGTGTTATTCGCATTCTCATAATTGTTTTAAGTGTTTTTAAGTAATTTAGTGTTTTAGTGTCTATTATTTAGTTAGTGTTAATATATTTTGTTGCGTCTCCATAAGAGTTTATTTTAGAGTTTATTATATTTTCGTTAAGTATTTTAGTTGTGTAACTTAGTCATAATCATATACCTTTTCATTACAATTGTGATCGGTCCTCGGATCTTTAAGGTGATTATAATTAATAAATCCATAAATAATATTACCTCACAGACAGCCCAATAAATTTAATTTATATTTTCAGATTAAGTTAGTTTGTTTTTATTAAAATATTAAAGTTTATAACTAAAAATTATAAAGGTAAATTTTAGTGATGTTTTAGGGTATTTTAAAAACGAAACACATTTTTTTTTTTTTTTATTTAAAAAAATGAAAATATATGACAAAAAATGTAAAATGTACAAAAAATGATAAAATATAAAGAAATAAAAAGTGTGTGGTTCGAGGTGTATTATCAAAATGAATGTGTTTATTATATTTGAACTATTCTTATAAAAAAAGTTTATTTATATTAAAATCAATTCACCTCGAACCTCTTTTTTTATTTTTATGTAATTTTTAATTTTTTTGCATACAAATGTATAAATGTGACCTATAAATTCAATAATTATCATTTCCATCTTAATAAAGATAAAGGAGTCTACCATTTATTCTGGGCACTGTATATCTTTGAAAAGTGGGTGGAGAAGACCAAAGACCAACAAACATGTGGGAATACTTCTTTAATTAATTTAGGGTACAATCTTTAGTTCAAAATTCAGGATCTATAATTCCTTTCTAAAAACTTTGGAGATCAATAGCAATATGTAGAGGCTGGTTTGGTATATGGAGCACTAACTCTGAAATCATTCGATTATTACAATAGTTGCTTGGCCAGAAAAATGTATTATATCCATCAAATAGTTAATAGAAAACTTCATTAGTGTTGATTTGATTGGTGCAGCTCTGATACACTCATTGAATCTAAATTGATTTTAAAGAGTTAAGATCTATTAAAGATTATAAACTTTTGAGCTGAAGTATTTACTGACTTATAACATAATTATTTAATAATTTATTTTTTTAAATTATTTATTTTTTTAAATTATTTATTTTTTTAATTTCTTATTAAATTTTTTATTAAATTATTTCTTTATTTTTTTATTTAATTATTTTATTTTTTTTAAAAAATCTTTATTTCTATTCATTTGGCAGCAATGTACCTTATTTTCTCAGATTGAAAAACTTTAATTCTTCTTTTAACTAATTATTAATAAATATAATTACATTAATATTAGTTTTAAAATAAATTAAAAAGAATAAATATTTACCTTTTAAATTGAGCAAAAATATAAAAAATGCCATGGTGGCTTAGTTGTTAAAACTGTTTAACAAAAGATAATTGAATCTATATTGTTAAAATAAAAGTATTAATATAATGATGAATATTTGAAAAAAAAATAATAATTTTACCTTATTAGAAAAGTGATTGATCAATTGAGTAGAGACAACTTAAAGTATGTTGATATTTGTGTAAAATACCAATATGTTAATTTTTAAATATTACAAAATTGAACTATATTATCAATTAATGTAAATTGACAAATATTATTGAATATTTCATTTGAATTATATTACTCCATTACTTCAAAACTGAAATCTTTTTTGTAACTTGCTTCGTGTTATTTGATCTTAAATTCTTAACATGTATGGAAAATCTTCATTTATTTTTTGGTGATATTACCTTTTTTTCTTGCTACTTCTAAATACCATATAATTTTGTTACAATATAAGCCATTACGGGTTGGCAATGGTGCTTTGGAAATTAATTCTGATACCTGGATTGCTAATGGTTCGATATTTTTCCATTCATTTCTATATCGAAGCTTTGAGTCATTTGATGCTTTATTAACCATCTCTAGGTATGAGACAAATGAAGATCTGCTAATTTCTGGCTTGTTATTTTCTCTTTTTGATTTATGAAAGCCTTCAAAAACTATTGCAAGTTGCTCTGCTTTGAGACTTCTAGACTTTGATTAAAAAAATTCTTGAATGATGGAGAAAGTTGATCTAAATCTTCAAGAATTGCGATGATATGAACCATATGGTATAAACGACAATCATCACTTACTAAATCGAAGAGTAAAGAAATACTTTTTTCAGTTTCTTCAACATAATCGAAATAGATTGATTCCTCGATTATTCTATCTTTATTTGAATCTATAAAATCAAGTAAAAAATCATTTGAAAAAAATTCGGGAATTGATTCATTTTTGATTTGAGAAAATTTACCCAAGATAATAATGGAATCTTTAACTTCTTCCCAACAGTATTTTTCTGGAAAGGCAATTGGGTCTACAATTAATTTGAGGCTATTAGAGATGAATTTACGGTTTTCTGCGGTAGCATCTGAACTTCCCCATTCTTTGATAATCATTTTAGTTAATAAAGAGCTGGCTTTATCCTTAACACTATTTAAATATTTTTTTTAATTATCTTTCTTTTTTTTTATTTCTTTTTTTTTTATTTCTTTTTTTTTTATTTCTTTTTTTTTTTTTTGATTATTTAAAAAATTTAAACAAAAAAATATATAAAAAAAAAATATATACGAAAATATAAACTAAAAATATAT